TTCCAGTGTGAGCTTTAAACGTTTATAAACCTGAGCAAAAATTGCGTAGTTAGAAACCAATCTTGATATGATAAAATTGAATATATAGTCTATCTATCATCCCAGTTACAAATCGATTAACCAATACTTACATCTAGCTCTTCAAGCACTTCCTGACATTGCAACTTGTTGGCACCAGATATAGCAGCTCCAAAATCTGCTAACCTTGGAAAATTAAAATCACCTATATGCTGCACAAATAAAAATAAAAAGAGGGAAAACCAAAATGTGAGGAAAAAAAGATTTCACATATGTTGCAAGCAAAGAAATTTGTTTTGAAGTACTTAGGCATTCAAAAAGAAAGATACCATAAAATTCAAATATTATGAGAAACTCAAACCTGATTGTATGTTTGAACATGATCCCTCCATAGGGAACTAGTCTTCAGAACGTCTCTTAAAGTCGATATAACCTCAAATGACGTTGCCTTTATGACATCATCATCCTTGTTATAGGGTTTGTCCTGAAATGCAAAGTATAAACCCACAAAAAAAAGGGAAAGATAACAATTTACTTTATATGTGAAACCTCCAAAAATTAACAATTGAATTGGTAAAAACAAAGACAGATGTGGACCTTGAGATGGTCAACTTTTACAGTCAGAGGATCCTCCTCAACCTGCAGACAAGCAATAAGTTTGCTTAGTTTAACTAGTACATACTAAGTTGTATTATAAATGTGTGTGAGTGTGTTTGCAATTGCAAAATCTACGGGAAGTACTTAAACACTGAAAAGTTTCACTAGAATCAAATGTTATAACCAATTCAACGAAATGTGTAAATGAACCACTAGACATATATGAGGTGATGAGCCAAAAAATAGGTGCTAAAATCATTGACCAAAAGTTCATGCTTACTGATTATTTTCCCTCACCATCTCTGTAATTCGAAGTCGCCTATGACCAATTAAAACAACGTGGTCTCCTTGAATGCTTGAAATCTGAAATATGAAGACAACAAGTATAAAAATTCATATAAACTGAAGGAAATTCTACCTTATATCTAGTTATACCACAGAATTAAGGGTATATGGGAGTAAATTAGATACCTGGGCAAGAGTACCGACTTCATGCAGACGGTTAAATAACTCCTTCCCTTTTAAGTCTGTTATGTTTTTTTCTGTTTCAGAACCTGAGACCACACTAGGATCAGTCCCAGGCTCATCCTTGAGAAGAAAAGCACCAGCATAAGGAGCTTGCCGTTTTTTGCTTTCTTGTAAAGCTGCCAACAACTTAGGATCCTACACGAGAAGCAATACATTAGTTAGTTCAGTAAGTGACAACTGCTGCATAACACCTTGCAGTAGCATCAATGATAGAATCAACCCAACAACCAAAATGCCAACTTGATTTCACTGTATCAACTAATCTCGTACCTTCACATAAATTGGCATGTAGAACCCAGGAAAGAGCGGTCGATGCGGCAATGGCAACGCTAAAACCTGCCCAAAAGGTGATCGGAAACAAAATGTTAAAGGATAGATAGGGAAGAATTCAAGAATCCATCATCCAATTTATATTTTGGCTCAGAGAACACACAAAATATCTGGCTTTCTACTCAACAAAGCAAAACACTTACTTAAGCAAATGCTACAAAGTTCAAGTGTTCAATCAAAACCATCCCAACAGCTTAAACATCCTTAACAACACAAACAACAACATAAACTGTTGCGAAAAACACAACAAGTAACAGTAAGTTGAAAATTTTCCTACTTCTTCATCTCCCTTAATCCAATCAAACTACTTTAGCATAACCAAAAGCCTGCAAATCCAAACCAACCGTTAGGTAATCTTCGGGTCGAGGATTCGTGGGCACAATTGCCGATGAAGATTTCGACTCGGCCTCCGCCTCGGCTTTCTTGACCTCAATTTCCGCCACCTGGTCAGACCCATCTTTCCCGTCCGAGCAAAAAAAGGCTCGGCCAACCGAATTGGGCCGAGTCAACCCGGTGAGTGAGCCAATAACTCGGAGAAACGGCGAAGCGGGCTCGGTGGGACCGGTGGGGAGAACCAAATTAGGGCCCAGGTTGTGGACTCGGCCCTGGAGGCATGAGGAGGAGGAAGACAGAAGCTTCAGCATACGTCTATGCAGCGAATCGATTGAAAAATTGTGGGAAAAATCGGAAACTGAGTTTAGGGTTTAGGGTTTTTTGTGGGCCTAGCGGAGCAGGTAGTGGGTTCTCTGCTAGAGAAGAACCGCCATTTTTGTGGAATTAAAAACTGCTTGAAGCTAAAGAAATTAGGTTTTTCAAGCGCTGTGTCACTTAAAGCCCTTCATAAACCCTTGTCACTCGTTATTTTTTGTGACGAAAGTGCCCCTCGTTTGGTGGGCGCAAAATGCATGATGCATCCAGAAAACCCCTGAATTTTCCCGAGAAGATTTCTTCAAACTCTCCCGGGAAACAAACAGAACCTTCGGCTTCTCTGCTTCACGCTCTGCGTCTCTACAAATCTTACCCTGCAGTCCTTCAACATTCCGATCGTTTCTGGTCGGAGCTCAAAACATACCTGTAAGGCTCGACCTTTGCCGCACTTGTTCACCGGCTGTTCGATTCCGGCGCCCCGAGCTAGGGTTAATTCTCAGGTACTCAAAGAAGAGAGCTTTCTTATATGGGTTTGTTCGAAACAGCGAAAGGCTTTCGATTTCTTCGATTTTTCACATGCTTTCAGTGTGTAGCAACCATTTTTGTGCAATTTTGATTTATGGTATGTTGGTGTTGACACGTGTGAAAATTTTGAAGACCCATTTGGGTTTTGAGCTTTTCAGTGTGCAATTTTGATTTATGGTATGTTGGTGTTGACACATGTGAAAATTTTGAAGACCCATTTGGGTTTTGAGCTTTTCAGAGAGCTGGAAATTATGGGCTCAAATTATCGGTTTCGTCTTGTAATTCTGTGTGAAGGAAGGTGAAATTGCGTATGTTGAATAGGATGCTCAAGAAGCTAGGGAGTGGTTTAATGACATTAGAAGTCAAGGCTTGGCGGCCAATGTTATAACATATAATTCGCTGATTGAAGCTTGTTGTAAGGATGGACTGATGAAAAAGGTAAATGCTTCCGCAGTTTAGGGGTATATTCAATTGGGATTTTGAAGGATTTTAATTTTTTTAATGAATCTAGGGGTATTCAATTAGGATTTTAAGTGATTATCTGAAATTTAATGTGTATTCAATCAAAATTTTAAGATAATTTATTAAAATCCTTAGAAATCTGGATATAACTACTGCAGTATTTTGATGAATCATGCATATAGCTACTGCAGGGAAGAAACCTCAGGGCATCTTTGAATGTGATGACACATATGGAGAAAGAAAGCAAATGTAGCACCATAAAATGTGTTGATCACAGGATATTGCGTAGTTTAGAGTAGTAGGGCATAACTTTCTTGCTTGTATTTTGTGTTTTGAAAAGGAAAAGCAACCCCTCCAAGAAAGTGGATAGACAAAAAGAAAAATGTAGGCTTTATGATATTGGTATGTTCATTATTTTGGTCCAAAAAATTGAGTGTCGTTCAATCTCATTTCTAAAATTGATTATCTCACATCAATATCTTCATTCCATTTGAATTCCGTTCATAACATTGTTAGTTTGCTGACGTGGCATACAAATCAATCTAACCAGGGCGAAAGGCTCACATTTTTTTGCAAGCCTTCCCCTATAAACGTCTTTCATTATTTGAACCTAAAATTTAAATTTGACAGCTTGTGTGTCATTTAGACATATTTTCATGTTTTGCTTTTCACCCGATATGTCAAATTAAACTATTATTTTATTACATTATCAAGACCAGTTCATTGAACAAACTCCCACTCAGACCAGTTCGTGAATGCGCTGCCCTCAGAGCTCCAACAAAATCCCTCACCGGAGGAGCATTGTCAAGATCTTTCTTCAATGAATACAGAGATTGCCTCTGCTTCAACTGGATCAATTGCATTAGCAGTAATCAAAATTAGCAACTCAACATGTGAACAAAATTAGACCAAATTTTTCGATTTTTCGAGCAACCCAATTCACGAAAACGCAAAGCTGACGACTTTACCTGAGCAACATGAGTGTCCTTGTGCCGTATGATTTCCTCCAGAATATTCCGTGGAGTGTTGCCCTCGTTCTGCAACTGGAACTCGAAAGGTCCCACATAGTGCTGAAGGGGTCCTGTGGGAGGCCTCCTCCTGATTCTAATTCCCCGACTCGCAGCCACCTCATTGTGGTACTGGACATACCCACCTCCCATTCCTTGATTTTCAGCTCAACTTTCTCCGGCTCCTGTTCACCTTCCACAGCAACCGCCGACGGCGGAGTGCCCTTAGACTCCATCTAATAAAAGACAAACAATTACCCAGAATTCAAACACCATTTCAATGCAGTTTAAAGTAAAATCCAACAAAAAGTAGAAGAAAATTAAGAAAAGACATTTAATAATTAGTAAAAAAAATTTGAAGCTGCTGCCATTGTGTCATTTCATGTCATGCCACATAGGATATGACATTTCGGTTGGAAACAATTAGAGGCTGTCTTTTTTAACTGTTATAGCTTATGTGGACAATTTGACATCTCTTGTGGAGATGCTCTTAGGTGGCATTTGATGTGGACATCTACATCATTTGAATTAATCAGATTTTTAAATTTAGTTCATTATTTAATAAACTAATAATTAAGAAAAACTAATTAATAAAATGATGATTATGGTATACGAGGAATATTTCTCATTCTTTTTCTTGGGTTTTGCAAATTTTTCAAATGATGTGGCTGTCCATATCATATTTAATCTAAAGTGGTATAAAAATATAGTATAAAAACATGGTATAAATAACATTACTCATTTAAAATTCCAACTCCCATATTTGATTCCATCCCAACACTAGTTTAATACTTATTTATTGGACATGAAATCAATAACCTTGTAACATTTTAAAATATGTAAAATTCTGAGAGCAAACTTACAACAAAACGCAGCGTTTAGTCCGGTCACTCAAATCGAATCCCATGCAAGAAGCCCATGCATAATTAAAGTTTGAGAAATCTGGAGTCTGACTTTTCATTCACACGGCTCAGAGATTCTTCCCTGTTATTGGAAGCTTCTTCAATTCAGAGCTTTTCTAATTCCATCTCCATTCATCATACAAATCCAAAGTTAGGGTTTTTATTTTCTCCCAAAAACTCCAATGGATTTCCAGAAGAAGAGAATCCAATCACTGCTCTTCATTGTTGGCATCATCGTCCTCAGTATCACAGGTTTACAGAGATATATGTGCGTATATTATATATATATACACACACACACATACATGTATATATTGTCAATTTATTTTTTCTTACTGGGAAAAACTGATGGAAATAATTTTAAAAATTGAAGTATTTTTTCCCCATTTTCTGGGAATTGAAATTTTTTTACGTCGGTAGGTAAAGATCTGCCCTTTTGCTGTTTTATTGGCTCTTGAATCCTCGCATTTGGTTGCGAATTAACAAAATGCAATGTGTGTAAATTAAAACCCCAAAACGCTAAGAACCCAGATGTGTAATTAGGATTTTCTTATAGGAATTAGGATCTCCGTGGTGATGTGATTATGCGTTGTGCGTATGAAAGTTAACAACAAGAAGTAACAGATAGCAATCACAAATGACCATAGTTGTACGGTTTACGATGTCTCGTCGTATTCCCAATCCTTCGGTTGATTCCTTAATATTTCTTTTGGTATGAATCTGAAGGAGGGGGAGTTTGATTTGTGCTAATAGACCTGAGCTGATGATAGCTAGAATAGCTTAAAAGGTTTCGGATTTAAGGGGCATCGTTTAAACAATGCTCGGAGAAAACCCAGTGGGAGAACCCCGACCGAAGGAAAAAGAGTACCACACCCACATTACACATGAGTATAGCATACATCCCCACATTACACATGAGTATAGCATACATCAGAAACAAAGATGAATCACTGTTTTGATGTTAATGTTCTGTGGCTGTTTAATGTGCTGATTGAATGGGGATGTAAATAAGATGTTTTATGTTCTTAATATTGTACATATGTGCTTGTTTAGACTAGAGTCTCGATTTTGTGCTCGTGGCATTTTGCGATTTACTAATATATATATATATGTGTGTGTGTGTGTAATGCAATATTCGGTTCTTGGTAATTTAGTATTTGACAATGTGTATCAAATACTTATTTGGATTATTTTCCTTGTAGCTGAAAAATGTCGGCAACTGGTTGGGGAAGAGAGTTCATCTCAGAGTGGGAAGTTTACATTCTTGAACTGCTTTGACATGAGTTCCGGAACACTAGCTTGTTCTGTCAAAGAGGGAGTGAAGCTCTATGTTAACAACATCAGAGCTTCTCATGTTGAGACGATGAGGCATAAAGCAATTGGAAGTGCATTGGCTGATGCATTGTCGCAGGGGATATCGGCTAAAGATGCAGCCAAACAAGCACAGAAGGCAGGAGCAAAGGCAGCGAAACTGGCAACACGGCAAGCCAAGCGGATAATAGGTCCTATCATCTCTTCTGGATGGGACTTCTCTGAAGCTATGTACTACGGTGGTGCAATAACAGAAGGGAGTGTCAGGGGCACCGGAACCATGTTTGGCACCTATGCTGGAGGGTTTCTAGGAGAGCAACGGCTTGGGAGATTTGGTTACCTTGTGGGAAGTCAATTGGGCAGTTGGGTCGGAGGTAGAATTGGATTGATGGTCTATGATGTGATTAACGCGGCGAATTACATACTCCAATTTGGTATACCCGAACAAAGTGAAGCTCGTGAAACTTCCGCTTACGAAGCCCCCGCGAATGAGAACCCTGAAGCTGAAGCCTATGAATCTTCCACCTATGAGAACTCCCAAACATATGAACATTCTGAACTGAGGTGAACGAAATGAAATATGGTCGTTCCTTTGCTTCTTTTCGCTCAATGTTATTTTGTAGATGCCAATGTTAGGAATGTCGGTATTACAAGATAGAGAATGCACAAAGTAAAGTAGAAAATGGACATCAAGAATTTATGTGGCTCGGCAATTTATGCCTACGTCCACGAGACAATGATTAATCTTAACTATATGAAAAAGATGAGTACAACAAGAGTAGTTTTACCAAGCCAAAGACAATGCTTGATGGATACAATAAAGTATAACACACTTTCTATCACTCTAAACTAATGCGTAGTGGAACACTCTCACTCTCACTTTTGGAGTGGAACTCTAGCTTTGGACTTGATCCTTTTCTACTCACTTCTTTCTTGATTGGTTACATCACTACAACATCACACCCATATTTATAGGTGAGGACTTGGCACTCTACTTGTTTCTAGTTCCTTCTACAAACTAGAACTAGTTTCTAATTTCTAGTATATTCTACAAACCTCTAGCTTAATTCTAGACTAGCCACAAAATTGTAGCTTCTAGATCTTTCCATTTGCAACCAAGGAAGCTAGTACTTTCTAGCTTCTTCCACCAACTTAATAACTTGCTAGAATTGTCTAGCATGCTCCAGTCACCTCACTTGCTTACTAGAATAATCTAGAACATTCATTATGGGCTGGACCATATACCAACAGCCAGTATAAGAAAATAGATTAGTTACTCATTCAAATATGTGTATACTTTTGCAGATGGTATTTCAATAGAATTGCATGCTTCGTTCTTACACTGAATTTTTTTTCTTCTCTCAAATGCATCTGTAAACGCCATTTTCCTATCGTTTTCTTGTACTTTATCCTTATTTTGTTATTTATATTCATAAAAATAGCGGAGGGGGTTGTAAGTTTGTAAGCATATCCCATGGATGTCTATGAATATTTTGAAGTAGAAGAGTGTCAAGAGACTCTCGCTTGGCAAGTTGGCAACCCAACCCTTGGGCCTTTGAACACACCTTCCCCAATAACACGCTTGGAGTGAGATAGGATGTTCCTACATTTGGGCAGCGCTAAGACAAAGACATTCAAGTGGCGATATTCTAAACTTATTACGTGTTGTCACGTAAGAGGTTTGGGACACTGTAACCTTCACATGCCTGTTTCATGGTAATTGGATTAATAACACACCTTCCCCACTAACATTGTTGGACTCAAATGGGCCTAATGTTCTTCAATTTGTGTCTGTTTCATTTTAATTGAATCTATAACACACCTTCCCCGATAACATTGTTGGACTGAGATGGGCTAGTGTTCTTAGATTTGGGCAGCGCTAAAACGGGGACCCTAAGATGACAGTATTCTAAACCTATTATGCATCATCACGTGGAATATTAGGAGCACTGTAAACTTAGTGTCCGTTTCATATAAGTTGCTCTTGCTCATCACAAGCAAGAGATTGCAAATACAAATCGATTAGAGATGCTAAAGCTTAGGGATGAGTTAGGGGTGTCAAAAACTCGTGTTCCGATTTATCTATTTATATTCATGTCGGTGTTCTAAGTCAGGTAACTTGTCAGGTCCGAACTTTCCACTTGTAGGGATGACTGATGAGTCCTATCAAATTATGACTAAGGGGACAAATGATATCCCCGTGAAAAGAGATCTGAAAGCAAATTGTGAATTTGTGAGGGCCCAAGTTGCAGCAATAGTGTGGGTCAAAACCTGATAGGCCCATCATTCTCAGGGCCAGTGTGTGGCACATGGAGTCGTGTAGGTAACACACACTTGTTACTCAAATGACCACATTTGATTTGACTTCACCCTAGCCAACCAATGCTTGTGCCCTTTGCTTTAATTAATTCTTTTTATTTAAAATTCATAAATTGTAAGAAAAAAATAGGAAGCACTATGATTAATTAGTGTTTGATGGCATGGGCAACAGTTGCTACACACAATTTATGATTGCAAAATATCAAATTAGGAGTGTGAATAGCATTTTTTTTGAAAAAACAAACAAAAATTAACACAAACAATCGAAGATCCTACTAAACAAAGACAAACAATATTAAATCCTAACACACAAATCATATATCTCAAAATTAATCCAAGACATCGACTTAACACATTTGAAAATTATTGTCAAGGCTTTTCACCAAATGCCCATGAAAATTTTACCATATAGGAGTGAATTTTGGAAGATATGTAGACCAGATTAAAAAAAACAAAAGTTTTAGTTCAAGTTAATTAACCACATTCAAACTTATGATTAATTCATAAAGCTTGATAGTCTCAGGTTAATGTAGGATATGCTAGGGTAATCACATTTTGGAATAGTACATAGGTTACATCGTAAGTTATAGATAAAGAGATCACGAACAGTAACCATTATATAAAAATCTGGAACATTGGAGCGAAAGAAAATAAAATGGAATAGTACAAAAATAACCAAAATATTTAAATATGTTTTGACTCACTAAACGATCTCAACTCCCTAAATCCATCTTAGGTTGTGGGAAAAAAAAAAAAAAAGAGTTTGACTCATCTCGTCATTTCATTTCCAGAAAGGTATCTTGAATTGAAAATGGACTTTGAAACTTCTAACACACTATTTACGCTGCAATTCGCCAATCTAAAACTGCTTTTCCAGTCCTGCATCACCACATAAAATCGTATCTCTGATAGAGGCTTGACCTACTTCTATTGTTAGTTGTACTTTTATCAGAATGGTGTTACAATGTGATTTACCAAAATGTGATCACCCTACTTAATATTTTATGTGATTTTATATATATGAAAAGAAAAATATAAAACTTTCCAAAATGTTGAACCCACTATTTCTAACAGTTAGTGTTATCCACACATCTACTTTTACTTCTTACACATCTATTGTTAATTTATGTTATTTGATATTCTTTAATTCATCCTATTCGGTGGTTGAAAATTAAGAAAAACATGTGAAAAGTAAAAATAAATGTATGAATAGCACAACCATCTCTGAAAAAAGATCCCAAACTTCGGTGTCGAGTAGTCGCGGTACTGCTATTATTGGGAGTGAAAGTGGCCAAATTGGCCGAAAATGAAGACTTCTTCCTGTCCCTACACGCATGTTAAACCCTTTTTTATTCCGACCAAAAGGGACATAAAAACATTATCAAAACCCATATAACCCTATCAGTTGTCTACATCTATGCTTTTACTGCTTCCCTCAGTGGATTCTCTTTCAATGGCTAAAAAAATAAGACAGGCAACCTAATTTTTTTTTTTTAATAAAAAGGAATAATTGGTGTTCTAGCTGATTGAAGGTCTACGTGATGAGGTTAGGGTTTGATTAAATTTTTGTAGTATACAGTGCCACGAGTTATGGATGCGTAGATGGTGTTGTTGGATTTATCCAATATAAATCAATTTTTAAGTGGTTTACTACATGTAATAAGAATGTAATATTGGAGAATAATGTTGATTGTGATTTGATTTCTTAAAGATATCAATCTTATATAAGATGTCTTATATTGGAAATAGGATTGATGGAATCCTTAATTGAATATGATTATGATACTTAACTTGGAAGTTAATAAAGTAAGTTTAGGTTTCATGTATGGATGGAAACCCTAACTTTTAACCTATATAAAAACATCAGTCCCCTAGAACACACAACATAATGCTTCATATAGAGTAGTTGTATTTGACTAGGAGTTTATAGAAGATCTTGGTGTTGCCGTGCCCTGCTTGTTTCATGTTCGATATCCATGACCATCGTTGGAATCAGGTCAGTCACTCATTCGATTGTGTTTTAATTGTATAACCTTATAAGGCTAACAGTTGGTATCAGAGCCATTTGTTATATAATTAAAACGTATTAAGATTGAAGTTTGATTAAAGTTGTCCAGAAAATTGATGAACTGAGATTTAAATTTTTAAGTAACGTGTTGAGAGTACATACAATTGTCTTGAAATTTTGTGCAATTTGTCAACTCACATCCCTTCAATTGCCGTGAGTAAAGCATACATTGCAGTGATAATTCTTGAGCAATTGTATAATTAATATATTGTTGTTATGACCTACTTCCTGGGACCGCATGCCTCTTGTAACCAATTGAAGTTGGCTCTGATCATTCATGATAGTTTCAACTAAAACCATTATGTATGAGGTTTTGGCATATTAATAATTAAGAATTATACATTGCTATTGATTTGTGATATGATTTAGACGTGTATATATGCTCCAAATCAGTTATTGTCCTATAATATTCTACGGAATTGGGATCTCTTTTGCATGCGACAATTCTAAGAAATTATGCAGTGCTGAGTCATTCAATTTTAAAGAAGGAAAGTGGGTTATGCTCATGCGTATTGCTTTTCCACTAAAAGAGGTTTGGAGCCCATTGCAAGTATGCAATGAATTTATTATAAAAGTTGGTCTTTATGTATATGGGGCATAAAGTTTATAAAATCTGAGCCTGCATCGTCGTGTACCTGTGATTACATGGTGGTTTGATTGCCATATCATTTTTAACTATTTTACATGAATATTCATGTCAATTGCTTCAAGTCTCTAACCATGGAATATTTCAGAATTTTTATTTCAAATTTAATGCTAATTGTGGAGCCAAAAATATTCACAAGGCGACATGTGGATTTTTGACAAAAGAAAACAAAACTACCCTTGGGGCATACCGGGATTCCTACCCGCAAGCAGCGGGTAATTATCCCTCAACCAAGTCAAAAGTGCCCAAAATAGGTATCAACTTAAAACCTAATTTATTCATATATTTCCTATTTCATTATTTAGCTAATCAATTAGCTAAATACTATACTTATTCCATAATTCCTAAAACATTCCTTCTAAAATAATGATAAATAGCTAATTAATGGGTTAATTAGCTAATTATTCCCTTAATTAGCATTTAGACCTTTCACTTTACCCTAACTCCCACAAAAGGGCCGGCTATCCCCATTTCAAAACCTCATCCATCACCTTTTCTACCTTTTTCACCATTTCTTCCTTTTTATTAGCCAATAAATTCCATAACCACAAAAGCATTTCCTTTTATGTTTAATTAG